TGAGATACAAAAGAAAAAGATAATATTGATGTTAAATAAATAACTTGAAATAATTATTTATAATTATGTAATTTATATTTATTGTGAATTATTATTAGTTGGTATTAGCACTAATTATTATATAATAGAATAGAAAAATACATGATTACACTCAATAGGATGTATTAATGTGAAAGTAAAAAACATTAATGATAAATTTTGTAACCGAAAATGGAGGAAAAATTTTAGAGGTTTTATTAAATAGATTTTTTTAAATGCTATTAGCTAATAATTATATATATATAGATTAAGACAATCAACTAGTTACCGCTGAATGTAAAAAAATTATATATGTGTCGAATTTGAACAAATACAATAAAGTAATTTTTTTTTTCTTTTCTTCTCTATCTTTTTTATCTACCAATATTCACAGTATAATAAAATAATTTCTAAAAATCTATATAGTAATATCTCAATCACTGCTTGATGCGTGTGGCTGTCACACCTACTGGAATTCACATCAAATTTAAATGGATAATCATAGGCACGAAAATGCTTTCATTTTCTTTTTATATTTTCATTTATGTGCCTTTTTCATTGGCTTGCTTGGTTGAATAAATAAAGGATATATAAAAAGGTGGGGTGTATGTGGACCATTTCATGATTCCATTCTTTCATATCTACCCCCAAATTATTGAATATTTATAAGGGAAAAAAAAAACATTTTCATTAAATATATTATATTCGCTATATTATATTGTTTGATTTTTAGTATGCCTTTATTCGAATTTGCATTGACACCCAATTTGCGATGCACGTCAGCCACTAATTTATCTAATTAATTAATGGCACCAAAAATAAAAAATAAAAAATAAAAAAAATGCCAGCCTCACATCTGATCTTTTCGTCTAGCATTTTTGTATGATAAAAATGACTGTTTTGTTAACAAAATAGGAAAAAGGAAATTGTGATATCTGATAAGTGAATACAAACTTAAATTTGTTTTTTCTTTTAATATAAAATATTTGATGCGCGTTGACTCTTCGATTTACAGAATATTTCCATCATGTCCTCTTTGGAAATTTTTTGTTCTATTTAATTTGTGTGGTACTTTTTGCGTTAGACGGCCAATAATAATTAGATAATCATATTTTTTTATAAATGAATATATTTTTATACTCATATATATATAATTGTTAACAAATTAAGGATTTAATTAAACTCTCTTTGTTTTTTCTGTCTTTTTCCGTTATCTTTGCATTAAACAATCAATTATACTTTTTATCTATTTTATTATATAACTGCTACTAATCATAAGCAAGTTCTTACTAACTGCTAATATTAACATTCTTATTAACTGCTAATATTAACTAACATTCTTTTTCAAACTATTTACTTAACATTATTATTATTTTTTTCAACTCATTAAGCAAGTTCTTTTTATTAAATTAGTTAATTATTTTTTATTGCATAATCAAATTTTTTATTTTTCGTACACAATTGCTATAATATTAGTTTATCCAGTTAATTGATCATAATCAAGTTGCATTAATATAAAGATTAATATGTAAGTTACATAGCTTATATTTATATCGTTCAATTTTGCTAATGATTAATTTCTAAGATGTGAAATGTTCATTATTTAACTTTATGATTTTAAATATTACATAAGCACACATATGACGTATAAAATTTTATTTGCATTTGTGCATGTGCATTGTGCACATGATGGAATACTAGTATCATACTTCAAAACACTATAAATAAATCCTGTATATTATATATAAACAAAAAAAATTATGAAATTAAAGTTCTAATATTTGATAGAGTAAAACTGAAAATTTGATTTTTCTTTTACTTTGTTTTGTATAAAAAATATTGTTGGAAAGGAAGTTTTTATAGGTGATAAAAAAAACAATATTTATTTTTCTTCTCTTCTTATATTGGTGAACCTTTTGCACAAAAATAAAATAAAATAAATAAATTTTAAATGTTGTTTTTTTATTCACATATATAAAATCTATGTGAAATATATTTGCACGAAATTTGGGTAATGTTTAAAAATAAATCTTTGTTGTATGACATAATTAATTGCATGTGCACTGTGCATCAAGCCAGTGATTGATGAGTAGGCATACAAGCAATTACTTCTGTTCTTGCACAACCCACTTTTTAGTTTTAATATTTTAACACCCTGCAAAAATTAAATACAAATTTGAGAAATAAAATTAGTAATATTTTATATCACAGATTAATCATTTTATGTGTTTTATCCTTATTATGAATATTTCATTTGCATCTTACCATCTTATTTGTAGACATATATGATATGTGCACGAAAATTGTTTATTACTTCATACGAATGTTATTCGAAAAGATTAATCGTGAGTTGGTCAATATTAGTATTCGATCTTGTGAATTGTATAAATATACTAATAATATTATAAGTTGTTGGACAATGAATATAACATATTTTATAATTTTGATCATTAATAAAAAATGAGCAATATAGTCAATAATAATTTTATATATACCACTTTATAGATTGTATAAAATGTAATGAATGTAGCCTTTACAAATTTTTGAGATCATGACCAATTAATTAATTAAAAAATAATAAAATTATTATTGTTATTATTATTATAGCAATTGTTTATGCGATTCTGCGGGGTTTGTTACAACATTCAGACCAATTAGTTTTTTTATTTTTTGTTTAAAATATCGCTTAATGAGATAAAAAAATAAAAAAAATAATATTAATTTTAAAAATAAATAATTTGAAGAAACTTATAAATTAATCAATATTAGTAATAACTATTATATGGTAGCATCGTAAAAAAAAATATTATACACTTAATAAAAGCAAAATGTAACAATTAGTTTCTACAATTCACTGAAAAAAAAAATGCGCAGAAAAATCAGATTATAGTCATTAATTGGACTCCAAGTTAATATATGTACTCAAATATCAATTTTTTTTTTGTTTTGTTTTTTAAGAATGATATAAATAAAAATGAGATTTTATGGTATAAATATACATTTTTATTATATGAATGAAATCCCATGATCAAACTTTCTTCATTATCATAGGTGTAAGCAACAATTGATTTTACGCTAAAAGTGCCAAGGAATGAGGAATTACTTTTAATGAGAATTAAAAAGCAAATGAACTTTGTCAAGATATGATTAGAGACTAACTAACCAAGGGCTAAAATCTCATACACGTTTTCCTACCTCCTACTTGTTGCCCCTACTGCAATTTGTACCTAATAAATTCATAATTAACTCACTAATCCAATGCACAATGTTATCACAAATGTAGTGATGAGGTGGATATAATTAATGTGTACAATGTAGAAAAGAATTTGATTCATCCACATTTTCTTTCACATTCAGTCAACCAATAAAGAGAAAAGAGAGAAATATTATTGCCGTTTTTAAAATATCTAATTATTTAATTTATTTTCTTTCTTATTTATAGATTTTTTTATTTTAGTCAAGTGGACAATATTATGTTTGATTACATTGTGCATTGGAGATATTTTTTTAGATTTGTGAACTTAAAATTTTTTTTTATGTGGTTCACAATTCATCTAGTTTTTTGACATTCGTCAAAATTTATGTAATAACAGCATTCAGGCATTGGAGATGCTCTAACCTCATTGATTACAAAAATGTTGGTACGAGGCTATGACTATGAGCAGTGAGTTGATCTATTGTTTAAACGATTCTTATTTATAAAATGAAACACAACTTTTACTTCAATTTCAATTTGACCACGAACTTTTGATTTTGATAATTTAAGATATGATCTTTTTCATTTTCTTTTTTTTTTTTTATATTTTGCAAATTAAAGCACAAATCAAGATATAAAAATTACAAATTCTCCATCTGCAAAGCTAAATAAAAGAACAACTGTAAAATCGCTACTTGCCACAATTAATCATTGTAAGTTGCACAAGTTTGGCAATATTTAATCATGTTCTCTTGAGCCAACTTATCAATCGAGGTAAAAAACGTTAAACTAAGGGTATGTTTGGATACAAAGGATTTTCACAAAAATTCTAACAAACTCACTTAACTTTAATTCAACTCACTATCATCAATATTATCAATATAATAAAATAATATGAATCAATCATTCATACATACCACAACAGCCTTAATTTAGTATTCATCTACTCACATTATTTTAAATAACAATCACTTTAAATCATTACTCTCCTACTTTACATCAAATCAATTTTATTTATTTTATTTTAAATATTATTTTAATATATTCACTAACAACTAACCATACCACATTTTTTAAAATTAACCAAACCAAACAAAAAAATTTAACAAAACCATTTTTTTTTATATCCACACATGCTCTAAAATTGTAGCTCGAAAGCTCGACACAATCGCCCGTCTCCAATCTTAATGCATACCGGCTTAGATCCTATATATGATGCCTCAAACTATAGATACAGAGTAGGTTCACGGATATTTCAGCTCTCACTTGATCGTTTGATACAAGCTTGTTATCTAGTATAATATGAGTTTCAATTTTTTTTTTTATATATAATGCAAACCATATTAACCTCGGTAGTCAGGCAACAAGAAGTGCTGGACACTAAGATATTTTCTTTATATAAAAAGGATAAGGTACAACTGAAATACTTTATCCACTTTCTTATTTTTCTATGTACAGTCATCATCTTCTTCTCCTTTTTGATCAGTGACTTGAGCATCAGAGTGCTTACGTCGGAAACTCTTTCCGCCCTTATTTCGCAGGTTTATCAGTTGTGCTCCAATCCAAACAGATCCAATTTCCGACACATCATCATCGACCATTATGTTATTATATCATGATTCTTGCATAATTTAAGAAATTTTCCATCACCAATTTTCAATAGAACAATTTTTACACAAAAAGAAGCAAAAATTTACTTGGGCAACCCATGTAATATAATTAGGTCAAGTCCATGGCACAAAAGTTGCCCCTAGTAAATTGCACGCCAAGTACAAATGGTATTATAAAAAAAGGTGAGGTCCGATGACAATTTTTAAAAGTTCTAATCCCCACTAGTTTTCTTTTTCTTTTTTCCACATAAAATGAAAATAAAATCTATAAACAGCCTTGTCACCAACTCCATCTTCCTCTCGTCGTCTACATTTCTTACACGAGAGGATAGCCAAATAGCCCTCTCTTTCTCTCTCTCTCTCTCAAATTATAAAACCATTGGAACACACAGAAGAAGCTAACACCAACGCCATAGTTACTGACTCTTTCTTTCGAAGTGAAAAAATAGCTGTTCTATTGATCGGGTTTCCCTCATCGCGATTGAAATAGACATATACTGCTATAAGGACTGAGTTTTGGTGAACAATAATTGTAGAGCAAGAAAAAGGAAACAGAGAGAGGAAAAAAAAGGAAAGGATTTTGAGTTATCTGCTTCACAATCTGTATAACTCTCAGATCTTGAATTGGATTCATTTTTTTTTCTTCTGGGTTCCTGTTTTTGGTGAAATATAAGCTGGTACTTGTTTAATTTTTTCGTGATTTGTTGTTATCTTGTAGTCTTGTTGCTTGTTTCAAGTCAAAGCTCGAGTCTTTATTGATTTTTGTACAGGTATTTGCTGGATTTCTGGGCGCCGTTGATTGTTTTTTTCGATCAGTTTAAAGATCAGATAGTGTCTTGTTGTGTAAGAAATTGCCATCTGCTCAGGTAATTGTCTTCTTTACTCAATCTACACTATCGTGTTTCGCGATGGTTGGATTCTGTTTTTTTTCTATGGTTGATGCTGAACTTGAGTAATTTATACAAAATATAGAAAATAAATTGAAAATTACTTACTGCTTTACTGATCCAGCCTTACTTGCTAATGGATCCCTTGCTCAGTTGCTCTTTACTTGTAATGACTTGAATATGGAGTTTTGAGATCTTTTTTTTAGCATAAATTAGTTCTGTATATGTTGGTTAATATATCTATTAGCTGCAAATTGATTGGTTGATTTCCGATTGGTCTGTGCAGAGTGAATGGAAATGGAAGTGGGAAAGTTGTTTGTTGGTGGGATTTCATGGGAGACTAACGAGGAGCGTCTCATCGAATATTTCCAAGCTTTTGGCGAAGTTTTGGAAGCTGTGATTATGAGGGATCGAGCTACGGGCCGGGCCCGTGGTTTTGGTTTTGTGGTCTTTGCAGATGCTTCTGTTGCTGAAAGAGTTGTTAGAGAAAGGCACGTCATCGATGGCAGAACCGTAAGTCGTGTGTTCGCTTGCTTTTTGATTGTTGCATTCGGTTAATAATGCTCGTATTTTGTATGTTAGAAATGCTTAAAGTTTGGGAGTGTCTGAACCTCACAAAGAAATAAAAGAAAAGATTGTTTATAGAGTTTTTTTTCCAAAAGCTAGCTTCTTCTCATGATTTTTCGTGGTTTTATTTTACCTGAATTTGTAAGGCGAAGGTGCGTTCGATTTCCAATTCTACTTGTAATGTGGATTTTACAAATGAAGCAAGCACCATTAAAACTTACTCATACAAACACAAACACTCTCTTTCAAATTGACTTATTGTCAAACAATCGCCATTCAAACTTACTCGTAAAAAAGAAAAAAAAAACTCTATTTATATCGACTATTTTCAAACAATGGCAACTTCTAATTTCTTTTTTAACTTTTTCAAGTTGTTATATATTAGTTCTAGAGGCATACTCGATGCTTAGAGCCTTCAAATCACTATAAAAAGAATATAAGTACATTTAAAACAATATCTAATCCTTCATTATTTGTGACCACCAAATTCGAATCTTCCTTGCTAGTGACAGAAAAAAAAAAAAACACTTTTTTATTTCATTACCTTCCGTACATTAGGTTGAAGCAAAGAAAGCCGTTCCAAGAGAAGACCACCAAACCCCCAACCGAAACATGCACGGGCCCCAAAGCCCGGCCCGAACCAAGAAAATATTCGTCGGGGGCCTCCCTTCAACAATCACCGAAACCGACTTCAAGAAATATTTCGGCCAATTCGGGACCATAACCGATGTTGTCGTGATGTACGACCACAACACGCAGAGGCCCAGAGGCTTCGGTTTCATAACGTACGACTCGGAGGAGCCAGTCGATCGAGTCTTGGTGAAAACATTTCACGAGCTCAACGGTAAAATGGTCGAGGTCAAACGGGCCGTCCCCAAAGAGCTTTCCCCTGGTGGGCCCGTACGAAGCCCGTCGACCTACAGCCCAAACCGCGCAGTCGGGCTTTTAAACGGGTTTTCTCCGGGCTTCAATGGTTTGAATGGGATGAGAATGGATGGCCGGTTTAACACGATTGGTCGGGCAGTCGGGTATCCACCGTACAGCCCTGGAAATCATAGCGTGGGATCGAATTTGGAGACTGGATGGGGGTTGTTGAATTCTGGTTTGGGATATAGAAACGGGATGGAGTACTCGTATTTTGGTGGGAATTCGGGTAAAAATGGTTCCTTTTTGAACGATCGTGAAGCATATATTACAAACTCTGGAAGTTCGACTGGTTTTGGAAATATAGGAGAAAATTGGGCTGGAATCGGATCATCCCCTGTTTCTGCTAAAGGTAGGGAGAGTATCATCTATGGTGGTGTGCAGGACAACTATGGTGGGATGGCGGGTTATGCGAGGGAAAATAGAGGTGTTTTTGGTTCGGAATCGTTTTTTTCGAGCACTGATATTGTTCGTGACGAGGGCTTTAATTCCTTTTATTCGGATAATGCTTGGCATTCGTTGTCTCGGGAGCTTGATGGGCCTGCTGATGTGGCACCGAACAATCCAGTTGGTTATGTTGGGGATTATCGTGTTAGTAGCTCTAATAGAGGTAAATCTTTCGTGTAATTTTTATTTATTTATTTTAGTGTATGCATATTCTTTGGTAATTGTTCTTAGTTAGAATAACAACGGTAGGAAAAAGGCGACATGTGTTCGGTTCGGACCGGACCTTTCTTTCCGTTTTTTCTTCTATTTTATCATCTTTTTATCCGAAAACAAGAACAAAGAGAGAACAATACCTCAACAAGGAAAGTGCAAAAGTTTTTAGCAAACACTTGGATATGTGGGAATAAATCTAATGAACATTTTATATTCTCATGTGTTGCAACTCTTGTTATCAATCTGTGCTAATGAAGTTGTTTCATTCATTGTTTTCTTTGTCGAAACAGGGATTGCTGCATAGGAAAAATTACTGTTTGGATACATAATGACCGTACATTTGGAGTGCAAAAACCCCCCAAAAAAAAGAAGAAAAAAAAAAAGTGAAACCGAACTGTAGGATAATCTAGTGTTCTGGAGATGCTTTTAATCCTAGATTGATATTTTAGTAGAGGCATTATGAAGGATTTATTACATAAGCAACAGAGAACAATATTCGAGTGAGNATGTATTCGCGATACGTTGTCATTATATTTTTATTCTCGTGTTGAGACCTGAAATTCCCAGGTTCGAGTCCGTGTTTTCGTGTTTGCTTTCTAGGCAAACTTTGGGAGTTGCATGTCTTGTACTTGGCTAAGCCCTAGCCATTGCACATTATTTTTTACTTAAAACAATGGTGGTTTTTTGTGGACTTTGTTTTGTTTTCTTCAATAGCTTGCTATTTCACATTAATTTTTACTTAAACATGGTGGTTAGTTTGTTTCTTCATTAGCTTCTCATTTTTACAGTAAGTGCTGCATTGTTTTGTGATAATATAGCATCGTTTTATGTATGCAGAGTTGAAGACATCTGGTTGTTGTTATACAGGCTGTTTTGAGTTCTGATTGGTTATAAAAAATTTATCTTGTTAAGGTAACATTTATCTTATAAACAATGAATGAAACATTATTTTTTTTAACAAGAAATACTCAATTCACTTTTGCCTTTACAATCCCACAAACACAATTGAAAAAAACAAAAAGGTAATTTAATATTATGTGTTTTCCTACAAAACTCAGTATTCTTCTTTTTACATACTTCTAATCGTCAATATGGTTCTATAATATTTGAGAAATGCTATACATAAATTTGTACGTACATAACACTCACATTAAGTGGGTCCTACCAAAAATAAAAAGAAAAATATTACATATACATAGAGGTGTACATAACACTCACATGGAGTGGGGGTCCACTTAATTTTTTATTTTTGATGGCTCCCGCTCAATGTGAGTGTTATGTACACCCTTATGTACAATATTATGTATCTATAGCATTTCTCAAATAAAAAACTAAGTGGACCCCACTCCATGTGAGTGTTATGTACACTTCTATGTACATTATTATGTATTTGTAGCATTTTTCATAATATATTATTATTTTTATATATTATGAATTTTAATCATTACAATTTTTATCTCATATTTACACTTCATTTCCAAACTTTTCAATTACTAAGAATCAAAATAAGAAACACAATTTCTTACATAAGACGATCTAACCGTTAGACAGGTCGATCGTTATATTTTTTTTACCAAAAATATAAAGGTATTACTTTTACATTTATATTATTATTTAGAGTATGAAATAGAAGTTAAAAAGTAATTTACATATGTTGAAAAAAAAAATATTGTCTAACCCTTAGGTATGCCTAACAACAATAAAAGTTTCCAAAGCCCTCTAATCCATAACTTACGATATCCTTCCTGGAAACTGATTCTTTTATAAGGACAAAGGGAGAAAAACAAAAAAATAAATAAAATAAAAATAATCAGCAGCTAAAAATTATTGTACAACACTGTCATAAAAGATGTTTACATAAATTTGGAACTGAATGTTTGTTTTATGATTGCTCTCTGGGCTCAAGTTGAGCAATTTCATCGATGACTTGCGATTTATCGGCCTCAAACTGTTCGTCTTCTGCAACCATACCGAACCAGATACTGAACACACGAGGCATTGAGAATGAAAAAGATTATAGGATTTTATACGCATGTGTGCATTTATGTATTATATCGTTTTACTACCTTTATCTGTCGTAAAATCTGCAAAGAGGCGAAGAAGTTTGCTCCTATTGGCTACGAGGACATTGAGGACCTCGGGGGGTTTATTCTGATTGGCGACAAATAACTGGGACAAATACGCGCTTTAGTTTAGATGAAATCATGTGGCACGTTAGAACGAATTCACGAATTTTTACGATAGATTTTTGTAGATTTGGAACATCACCTTGAAAACATGGAATGCTTCGACCTGAATGCTCTTGCTCGATTCCTGTAAGAAATTCCTCTTTTTTCAATATCGCTTTAGTTTATTTTCTGCACTTACACAGTTACACCTGGCAATAACTGGAAAGAGGTTTAAAAAGTAACAGCCAAAAGGAAATCATACTCTGAGAAGATTCATGAGGATCCTGAGGTTGTCCCTCGAGCTAACATATCGAGCCATCACAGCCGAATTTGACCGATCAAGCAAGATATCACCCAACAGCTGAAACACAAGTAAATCATGCATGTAAAAATGAATGAAGTATGCGAAAGAATAGAAAATAAAAATATCAGTCGAACATGTGATATTCTTTTCACAAAGTCGATGGTCCCAAATAGAAAGAAACAAAAGGAGATGAATTGGTGAGGCATTACCTTGACAGAATGCCTTCTAGTGATATAATTGCTTGATTCAAGCAGTTTCGAGTTATACTCTGCAAAGAACTGTCGAGAGAAAACTATCCAGCATATTAGGGAAATGGGGTTTATCCAGGTACTCTGAAATAGCACTTACTACCCAGTGCAAGATTTAAATCTTTTAATGGAGCTTATAGAAGGAAAAAATATTAATAACAAAAGATGTACCGGAGTACAAACAAACATAATTTTGATCATAAGCTCTTCAAAAAAAAGGGCGCATTCTAATGTGACAATTTTTTGAATAAAATCAAATTTGTGTGAAGAAACACACAGTCCGTCGAAGAAAAACACTGACCCAGCCGTAATTATTAGAGAGAAAATCAGCAACAGTTGATTTGTGCCTAGTCAATAGTTCCTGCAAAAAAGATGTGCACAGTAAATTACATCCGCACCAGTCCAAGGCAGAAAAGACACCACAATGCATCTGCAAGAAAGGAAAAGAATAAAAGATAATAATCTAAATACCCATGGCTTCTTCTGCTAAGCAATCAAAATTATATTAATACTCTTAGTACTTTTCCTTCGACTTAGGTTGCCAAAATAATTTGATTTTTCTGTCCAGAATCCAGTTGTCTGAAACATTGCTGATAAAAGGTAAATCGGAACGCTTAGTCCTAATGATTTGACATTCAAAAACATTCCAGATAACGTTCACTGAAAATAGAAATAAATTGAAAGAGACCATCCATAAAAGTTTGCAGACATATACGGCAAAAGAAAGCCAAATTACCTACTTTGAAAGCAATGGGGCAGTTGAATAGCAATTTTCTCAATATTTGTGAAAATATATAACCTTGAAAGTGGCAGCCGCATCCGAAGCAATGTCGAAATACGGGAGCTGTATAAAGTAAAAAAAATTCTTCATATGCTCCGATTGTAACACATACCTACAGACCAAACAGATTCTTTTTTCAAACATCCACATCTTCACTATAAACTGATGCAGTAATACCTAATAAAAAAGGCGCGTTGTGGATTCATACTCCCACTACATGACTCAAAATTACCACATTATCTACATCCATAATAGCTAGTTAGAAGCGAAACTAATAGACAAGGCTAGGCTCTAAAAGATTTAGCAACAAATGTAGTTAGTCTAACTTATTATTGCCTCACTTTTGATTATAAATTTTCCTGGAGTGAAAGTTATCTTGGTTCACTTTGGTGGAGCATCAAACCAATATTCCTCAAATAAAAATAGCTTTTGAAACTTTTAAATCATGCAATAGGAGAAGGAAAATGAATATGGAAAATCGACTGACCTTGCTATACTTTGATGACGTATGCATTCTCTCAACATTGCACCATAATGTAATGCCAAATCAGTGTTCACATAACTGGCAGCCACAAAGGAAAAAGGCTCACAGAAAAATTAAGAAAGGAAAAGGTCAGAATACAATTAGATTATAGATTGTTATCCAAAGGTTTATATTTGAGATTATTGTTTTTAATTGATGTTATGTTGCATCAATTAATTAGTAACATCCACTTAAAGGTGGTGGTGTTACAACCTCATCTGCATTAAGTATGGAGTTATGAGAAGTGTGTTTAAGTCTTCATTTAATTTGAGTTCCATGAAGGCAACTATAAATTGATGCTTTGTGCATCATGAAAAGAGGATAATACGGGACAAAGAAACAAGTTAGAAAAATATACAAATATCTTTATATAGTGCATATTCTCTTGTTGAGCCGAAACCATCAAGGCGGCTCGGGTTTTAGAGCGTGGAGGATACCGACGACTCTAGTAGCCGTCGGATAAAAGATACGGGCAAGTTTTCGCTTCCGCTACATAAGGTTAGTCCTATATATATTTATATATGTGTTATATAAAACCACTAACAGAGATATTCAAGTGCTAATCGAGCCGAACACTTAATAAGAAAGTGAGAGTCTAATCCCCAGTATCTGCCCCTGCTTGAACAATTGCACAAGCTAATTGACTTTCACAAAGAAATGAAGGGTTCCTAAATTCTTTTTTGAGTGGGCTACAACATCATTTTTGCATGAAAATGTCGTCAAATACCAAAAACCTATCTCACTGGAACATAAGTTATCCAGCTTTAGAAAATTCCAAATCAATTCAAAATTCAAAAGTTCAGTGAAAATCTTTCATTGCAATCTCACCCTGCTATGAGAACATCCATGAGGTCCAAATTCTTTTCCAAGTAATCACAAGCAATCAGCCTACATTGAACTTGTTGCCTCTGCAGATTCGCTACAATCTGGGTAGCATCCTTACGGGTCTGCATAAGTTTAACTTACCACCATTCACATTCATCATTTAATTACCATGATAAAGAACTAGCACGACAAAGCACAATACATTCAGACCCCAAAAGAATAGTTCAATTCATAAAGTAAACCATATGGCAAAATCAGGCAATGTTGATTTCTCCACAATTACCTCTAAGTTCAACTTGGGAAGACATTCAATAAGCAGACGAAGGGTATCCTCTCTGAAAAACTCTTGTGTTAACTGCACACAAGCATCTGAAAGCGGTTCGGATTGACTGTCTCCATAAAGAATTTGTCTCAATTGTTGGATACGTTTCCCCAACTTCATCATCTTCACACATTACACACCAGAGTAAATTAGCACTACCTAAAAGATCACTGCCCAACCAGGCCAGCTCACGAGCAATAACCCAAACAGAACACAAAAGCAAAACTTGAGCATTCTAACTTACACCTTCACGAAAACCATACAAGGAAAAATTGAACAAACGCATCAAAAAGATCAATCTTCAATAGATTTCAGATCCGAAAATTTCCATCACAATGTCATGTAAACCAACAATTACAGATTCCGAAACAGAATTTTCCCCAAAACAACAATGCACTGCAAAATGACACTGAAACTGAAAACAAACCTTCTCCTCACGCTTGCTCTCCTTGACATCCGCGCCACCGCGATCCACGAAGAGGAGGAGATCGTGCGTCTGCCGCACCAAATCGGCGGGGGTTTTGCGCTTGGACTTGAACAGTGCCTTCATCTGGGTCCTATCGGAGGCTCCGGGTCACCGACTGTCGACGGCGTGGACCGCTTGGCCGGTTGGCCGTGTCTGGATGATAAACAAACTCCTATCGTTTTTCCGTCCGGGGAATTTTTGGGGGGTGGTGGAGCACTGGAGCTAAGAGTGGGCAAGGATCAGGTGACGATCAACGTACGTAAACCGGTAAACGGCTATCTATATAATATAAATAATGTATTAAACTGACTTTAAATGGTATGTCCGGTATTTTTTGTACTACATTAAACAAGTATAAAGTATAAACTAATATTTTGGCGTAAATGGTATTGAACCGGCAATATTTTGTATTACGGCTGGTATAATGATATGATGTTTAAAACTTTGGTTAGNAATGTTTTACTATGGAATAGTTGCGTATATTTATTAAAAAAAATATAATAGGTCCCCCGAATAATCTTTAGTTGGCTCACATAAATACAAAAACAAAGTTGGCTTACATAAGAGCATCTACAATGCTTTGGGTTCAATCCCAAAAAATTACATGCCACATAAGAAATAGACTCAGTCCAAAAAAATATATTCTCCAATGCAAATAAAAGTAGTCTGGGTCCTGCTGATGTGGCAGCAAAAAAAAGAGACCCGGTCTCCCCTTAAGTCCATTTTAGACCCAAGTAGAGACCTAGTCTCTTTGCATTGGAGTGAATTTTATTAATTTTACATAATTTTATCCACGTCATTTAAGACTTGGGTTTATTTACTTGCCACATAGGCAAGACTAGACTCAATGCATTGAAGATGCTCTAACAACCCAAATTAAATAAACAATAATCCCCTCTATGGCTATGTTTGGATAACAACGTTTTCTACAAAAATTAGCTGTTTGAGCATTTTGGCTTATTTGACTTTTAGGATCCGCTAAAATTTATGTTTGGTGAGCAACTTTTCTTTTCAGCTTATTTGCTCAAAAAGCTGAAATTCAAAAAGCTACATATTGGAGCGTTTTTATTTGGCTTTTCAACTTTTTGATGCAAATCAATACTTATGGGCTAAATTGCCCCTAATTTAAAATGGCAAGATTGTTGAAAAAAATCAATTGTTGAAATACTTGTGGCATGTGGATAATTTAATGGCGAATTTACATGTAAGCAAAATTACATATAATTAATTGTGTGCCATTAAATGGCAAAATTGCTCCTAATTTAAATTGCAAAATGCAATTTGAAATCGGTTTAGATTTGAATTCAAACATCAATTCTCAAATTCCGTTCAAATAAAACTGAAATTCATTTAGTATCGGAAATAAAAAAAAATAAAAATCAATTGCATAGTACACGAACGAGTGAGATGTGTTGTCGAAAAAAAAAACAAGTGAAACCGAGCTATTTTCATAGAAGAACGGACGCTAATAAATATTGTTCAAACAAAATAGAAATAAAAGTATGTTNACGAACACCAACAAACATTGCTCGAACAAGATAAAAATAAAAATATGTTGTTTCTGTTAAAATACAACTTAAAATTACTTTGTAGCGACATGCAAAATCCAGAACAAACATTTCAAGTTTACACAATCACATTTCAAGAAGAAATAGCCATAATAACATTTGTCTCATTTTCCCTTCAAACAAGAAGAAATAGCCATAATAACATTTGTCTCATTTTCCCTTCAAACATTTATGCTTGTACTTTTGGACAAATAAAAATTTTCCTATACACTATTTTGTTTTTACATTAATTATGATACATATGAAAAGCGTAATTTAAATATATTTAATATCATACTTATTTTTTATTATATGTAAATAATACATAAATATTTGTGTTTTAATTCATAAATATCTACATAAAAATAAATTTCAAGTATAATGTCCTTATAAGTAATTTTACATGTTAACAGCTAAATAAAAATAGCTAATTTTACCAAACATTCTTTTACAAACCGCTAACACAACCAGATGGTCAATACAGCTAACATAATCCACTGGTAATGGAATCAGCTAACAGCTACCGCTGATTACCAAACAAGGCCTATATATAATTTGAGAATGCGTTGAACCTACGTGACAAATTCTCATACTTCGGAATCCGACTTGGCAAAAAATCATACTTTGTAATATCGATATTTTTATATGATATAAGTTAAAAAATTCAACACGGATTAACATTTTCATTTAATGTACGAGTGTTTAAATATTATGATTAAAAAAATATAATTTAACAATTTAATTAAAATCCAAAGTAATATTTTATATAAAATTAAATTATTTTAGTTTAATAAAAATAAAAAAATTAATATTTTTTACAAAAACTTTCTAATTTGTTTTGTTATACGCAATAAATTGATCCAAACCAAATTACGATATCATTTATATTATTTATTCAAAACACATATAAATTTCAATTGCAATCACACAAATCTCGTCAATAGTCAATTAAACTTTCGAAGGAGATGAGTTTCTTCTCCTCCTCCCTCACGTTAACAACCGTCAGGTACTTCCCCGGCGGCCCCAATTTCCGGCCGCCGCCGCCGCCGGCCGCCACGGCGGAGACAAGGAGCTTGTATTTCACGCCGTTCACCACTTGCATCTGGCCGTTCACGACTGCCGCGAACAACAGCTTGGTCGCGTTGGGCTGACGGTTTTGCTCCGCCACCGCGAATTTCGCGACCTCCACCACCTTCGCCTCGTTCGGGTCCTTGATCAGCTGCCAGCCGCCGGGAATTTTTTCGCCACCCTGCGCGGTGGCGGCGGCGGCCAAAATTGCGATGACGGCGACTGCAAGGGAGAGAGGTTTGGTTCCTGTCATTTATTTATTTATTAATTTTTTGTTTCTATTAATTTGAATTTAATGGTGAAATTTGGGAAATTAGGTTATGGTGAGTGTGAATTGGTTGGGTTTTAGTGTTTGTGGGTGCATTATTTATATGCATTAGTTTGGATAAATAATATTATTGTTAATTACTGTAACAAGTAAATGTAAATAATTTTTTGTAATTTAGTGACCAGATTATGGGTAATTAAAATGCTTTTATTTTATTTAATTTTAATTTATTTATTTATGAAATAGGGATATGCTTTCGTAATCACACTTNACTACACATATTATTTAGTCGGGTCAACAAGTCAATATCTGAATTGAGTAGTTAGTTTTAGAATTATATTCATATGATTTATATCTTATAATGACATAAAAAAATATATGTAAATTTTAATCCTTAAAGTCTTAATAATATTAAATATCCTCATAAATCATTAAGGCGTATATATATATATATAATTTTAATTTTAAAATAAATATTATGTACAAAATATATTATAATCGGATGGAAACGGGTTGACACCTATCAGTACCCGGATCCACCAAATTTTTATAACCGGTCCGAAAAATCCATCCAGAGTGTCCAACTTCAGGTCCACTGTGCAATTGGATGCGTTTAAAACGTGGTGGATAAAATGGCGTGTTATGCCTACATATATTAATTATTTATAATTTATCAAGTCATTATCTTTTTTTCTAATCTAGCTTGTATTTGGTTGTCATAAAACTCTTTTAAAGTTGTTTCTCATTTGTTAAAATTTTAATATTATTATGTTTTAGCATTTATAGAGTTTTTTTTTTTTTGTAATTTTAATATTATTATGTTTAGTTCATTGTGACTTTTTATTATGTGTATTTTTTTTAGTTTGTTTTCGTGAAGTATAACTTATGTAGTTTTTACATTGTTGGAAATGTGAGAAATATAATGTAAATTAATTTTGGTTTCTAGTTAGTTGTGACATGATTAATTTGAAGCTTCACGTTAGTTGTTTTATTTCTTTTATATTTTTATGCTTTTGTGTTTGTTGTTTTCAATAAATTTGCTACAATAAAAAAAATTAGTAAAAAAATATGCAATATTTTCTTTTCAATATTTTTTTAAGTATTAATTTTTATTTTTTTTTTTATAAATTTGGCTTGTATTTTAATAAATATGGTGGGAGGTTAGTTTTTTTTCAATCAATTTTTTAATGGATGGTAGTTATATAATTTTTCCCTTTTTAACTGTGTCTCAAATTAAATGTTAAATTGATGACCACATTTAGAAATGTGTATTCATTCCGAATTCTTAACAATTTGGTGAGATTTTTAGAATCTTGGTGTATTTAACTTGTAATTTTTAAGATTTTTAAAAGTTCCAAAATATTTATTAGAGATTTTCAAAAAATCTTAACAATTCACGAAATATTTTACTTATTTAATGACATTGGGATTTGCTATGAATTTATTAGATTTGCTGAGATTTCATAAATAAAAATTATATTTGGAATCCTGCCAAATCTTTCCTTCAAATAAGATTTCCAAAGATTCATGTTAAATCTAAAAATCACAAAAAGACTCATATGTAACAAAATATGAATAATTAAATAAAAAATGCCACTAACATAGTGTTTGGTTCGAGGAAAACTGAGGGGAGGGGAAGGGAGGTGAAGGAAAGTTTTAATTTTCTTCTGTTTGGTTCAATCTTTTGTGGGGGAAAGGGGATGAAATTTTCCCCTCAATTTCATACGCGGAGGAAAAACTGCTCCCTTCTAATTTTGGGGGAATTCGGAGGGGAGGGAAAAGTTTATTATTGATTAGACTTATATACCCTTCTCAACTAACTATAATTACAAAATTACAAACATAATGTTACATAATAAAGAAGAGTATATTTGTCTATATAATTTTATTTTCCCTCCCTTTACTTTTTAAACCAAACAAGGTTTACTATTTTCCTTCATCTCCCCTCATATAAAATCTCTCCAAACAAGGTAAAATTATTTTACATCATTTTCCCTCCCCTCACCTCCTTTCCATCAAAATCCCTCCCCTCCTTTCCCTCCTTTGAACCAAACATAGTCTAAGAGTCCGAACCAAAATACACCTTCTCGTAGGGTCTCATATTATAAATTAAAACAATATATTTCTTATATTTCATATTTTAAATTAAAACAATAGATTTTTTATTCTGTATGGCCAACGCATATTGATATGTTCCCAATAATTTATTTTTTGTATTCATTTATATTATTCNAAACACGATACTCTCATCACGAATGCTATTGTTACTTTATCTAACTGTTAGACAATCATACTTTTCTTACAAAAAAATATATTTTTTATATTATCAAATGTCATATTTTTGTTATTTAGCATTTTAAAATACGCCAATTATGTATATTTGCTAGAAGAGTGTGTATATATAAATAGACAATTCAAGAAATTAGTCCAAAATAAATATATCCTTCTAATCACATCAATATGTAAATTCCAACATTTATCCCAAGCCATCCTCATCAATTCACAAATCACAACACAATTGAGTAACAAGTTACAATATGTCCAAAACTAAACATTTGATCAATACACCTCATCAAACGACTCAAGATTCAAGGGCTTATCCGTTATAACAACTTCATAATGTTTCTTGATGTTTTTGCCATCAACGGCTACGATTATGAGGTCATATCTACGGTTGAAAATTGTTCCGGGATCTTGCGAATGGTTATACTGTATTTTTCCACCGACAATAAAGTCGAGCTTTAGGGACGTTTTGGCTTGACGATTGTGTATCAACACAGCAATTCCAGCAATTTTGACGACAGTTGGGTCTTTTAAGTTCCTAATTGGTTCCCATACATTTTGAGAAGTGACTGCCATGAAAGAACCAAAGGTCACCAAAACAAAAAGGAATATGAATTTGGGTTGTGCCATATTGTTTTTGTGTCTTAATTGTGTTGAGAAAAACATTGTGTTGTGTGGGTATTTATAATGTATTTGACTAATTAAGGATGTGTATTTGGGAAGAGAATCATGTAATGCATAATATTGAGTCAAATTTAATGTATCCGAAGTAATAAAATCTTTGAGATTGTATAGTGAATGCTTGTAATCAAAAGGATTCGGATACAAAGAAAGGGGCATATTATTATTAGTTAAGCAGCCTAACGGTTAGGTGAGTCGATTTTGCATAGATTTGTTACAAAAAATAAATATCTATGTTATGGAATGTCATACTTTTATTTATGTTATTTTTTATATATAGTATCGTATTTTAGTTTGAAAATTACGCATATCTGTTGAAAAAAATATGATTATCTCTCTGTCAGATCTGCCTCGCATAGGCTTAATATATTAAATACATTATATTTTTAACCATCATATTTTGTAATGAATGAATGAACTAAAAATGGTCCAAATGCATATCAAATATATACCTAGATCTACATGAGGTTCAAATAAAAATAATTGTTAGTTTAAAAATCATGATGACTTTTTTTTAATTGTGTATAATACAATATTTAATTATGTTTGGCGTTGTTTTTCATTAGGATTTATTTTTAAAAATAGCATTGTATGTATAAATAACACACCGTATGATGATAAAATAATATTATTCATAATTAAAAATAATATTATATGCGGATCTAAATTTTAATAATTATGGTGCTATAGTTTATAGAGATGCTACTCTATCTATTTAATTTTAAACGTCAATTTAGATTAATTTTTATATTTTCCATTATTTGTCATTCTAGACTATTGTTCCAATTATTTATATCTATATAAACACCTTAATATAATAATTACATTAAGAAGTAAAATATAAACAATTTTTTGCAATGAGGTGATCAGATTACAACACTACAAGAAAATGATGCCAACGGAAATATATTCTAGTTGAAATAAGAAAATGATGCCAACGGAAATATATTCTAATAGAATTTCAACGTCAATTCCAATGGATATTTCAATGCTATTATTTCCGTTGGAATAATTCCAACGGAAATTCCAACAAGAATATTCCGCTAGAATGAGTTTTCCAATGGAATTCCCGTTAGATTTTGACGATTCCACAGTAGATTTTCCAACGGTGGTGGAAAAAAAATTCCACCGGAAATTCCTACAGTGACAAGCCGTTGGAATCATCAAATTCTATCTAAAATTCCAATGAAAAGTACATTCCAAACGGAATATTTTCGTTGGAATCATTCCAACGGAAGCTATACTATTGGAATATCCGTTGGAATTTCCATTGGAATATATTACCATATAATTTTTCGTTGAAATATAACAATTTTTTTGTAGTGCAAGGGTTCATAGCCGTATTTAAAATACTTTTTATCTTTTTTTATTTTGGAATTATTGGGTGTGTTTTTGTAATCAAATGACACATTTTTCGAATATGATCGTAATTCTCAACCTTGTTTACATAATTTAGTCGCAGTATATCTTACAAGGGAATATGTCGTAATCAAAACATGTTTGACTAACATAATAGTATTTTGAGATTTGACTGCCAACAAGAAAAGGAAAAATATTTTCTATATTTGAAAATTCAGATATTGGTAATAATTGTACCAAAAAAGTTTCAAATGTAGGGTTTGTAATTATGTTAAATGTAATGGTACTAATACCATTGTAGACGAGTAAGGTTTTAAGCTTGGAATTTTAAGTTAACATAAATTTAATAACTTTATATTATGTTTCTAAAAATAAATAATTTTACTTCCTAAATTAAGTAGCTAAACTTTTTATTAACTAATGTATTTTGAAGGCCAATTGAAGAATGTCACATGTCGTTTATTGAAGATTAAAATAAATAACTATCTCTTTTAACACTAACTAGTAAGTAACCCGTGCGATGCAAGAGACAATAATTATAAATTGAATGTATTAAAGCAATGAAGGAATATTGATTATTGTAAAAAAATTACTATTAATTTTATTTTATCATATATAATAATGTAATATATGATTTATATATTTATTTCACTCTTATATAATAGTTTTTATTTTAAAGTTCTGATTTATAATTAAGGATAATGAAAATTTAACATATTAAAACATTATCGAAAAATAATACGCACATAACATTTATCTCTCTCTATCTTCACTTACTCATACCTTATTACAATTTTTATTTTAAACTGTAAATAAGTTATGCTAAAGTTGAAAAATTGTGGCAGATATTATAACCAACACTTGATTGAAAAAAGTTGTAATACATATTACTTTGAAGTTAAAAATTTATTAATTTTAATCATGTCAATATTATTTTATTTTTCTTATAATTATAATAATGTACATTATAAATATTTTAAATTTTTTTTTCTAATCTATTAATTTATATAAGTTTTGTTATGATATTGTGAATCGCATATGAATTTTTAAAAAATTAGTTTGGTGCAATTATTGCTAAAATCAAAGGATAGTTTTTAAATCCTCGAATAGATAATTTTTTGGTATATGGCTTTTTACTAAATGAATAGAAAATCGGAGGTATATGATTTTTTACCAAATGAATAGAAAATCGGAGGGATTTGTTATTAATGTGAGATATCAATTCTATTGTAGTATTGTGATAGTCGTATCTATAATATTTTTGCAGTTGATTTCTAAATTTATTTTGTACTTATAATTTGCAATGTTCTCACGCATATTTCGGCCTACATATGACTAGATGTCCAACAAAACAAGAGAACGCATGATTTGTTATTAAAGATAAATATTGATTTATTACTAATGATAAATAGTTATTTTTTTTAGATAGTGCAAAATTACGTTTACAATTTTTGAAAAGCTGAATTGGTTTAGTTATTCATAAATCAAAGGATTTGAAACTAATACTCTTGATTAAATGATTTTTTAAAGATACGATAAAAAATATTTTTGTAATGGTTGGTTACCAAATGAATAAGAAATTAATGTAATTTGTTATTGATGTCGATAAATAAGCTCTATTGTAACATTGTTGATAAATATCATACTAAAAATTTTATAATTGATTTTTAATTTTTATTTTGTAGTTATATTTGTAATTTTATCGTGAATATTCAAATATTATTTTCTAAAAACAAAACCTATTTAATATAAACTTTTTAAAAAAAATTGTACGGTTGTTTACCAAAAGAATAAGAAATTGTAGTAATTCGTAATTAGTATGAAGAATCGGATTTTTATTGCGATGATTATCACAAAATAGTTTTTAAAATTGATACCACCTTATTTATATAGAAAGTCTTGCTATTAACCGAATTGCACGATTTACACCACGTAGGTATAATTTGATTTTTATTTTTTTATAAAATTAAAATAACTTTTAGTATATTTCCTTAATAGTAAGTCAACCATTTAATTACCAAGTTAAAGTTACTATTTCATACTATGCCATCAACCTTTTTCAATATATATATATATAGATATAGATTTTCACATTTATTATAAAGTAAACAAATATTGATAATTGATGGACCAATGATATATTTTCCTACAAGTGTAAATAGGGATCATTTTCCATCAATGAAATCATGGACAAGTTTAAATAAATCACTAGCTCAAGTTAAAGAGAAGAATAACTAACTATAAGGCATAAAAATCTACTCTAATCAACCAAGTCAAGTTAAGCCAAGTTCAAAGAGATTCACGGCGTTTAAAACAAGTTTCAAGCGTTCAACTCCCGTCAAATAATACGAGTAATTAGAAATAAGGGATCAAGCTTTCGTTTTCAAAAATCTCAAATTCCAATAAACATTTTTAGAAATAATTGTTCAGAGAAATAATAAGATTTATAATTCACTATATTCATTTGATGGATTTATTGAAAATGAATATGCACGAAGTTATTGTATTTATTAACAGAAGAACGCATTATTTACTTTATAACCTTGTTTATGTTTTAGAATAATCTATTTCATGATATTTGATTATTTTCTATGGCTTAAAGATAAAAATATTAAGTCCATAACTAAATTATATGAATATAATAGCTTTCCACTTCTAGAAAAATAATTACTTTAAATGTCTTTTTTTTCTGGAAAGTTCATCCCGAAGTTTGACGGAGATAAAAAAATTACCCCTATCAGCTATGCCTATTTTATATGAATGCATCATATATTATTGAGTCATATAATTTGATAAATAATGACTTTACCATATGATTTGAAAACTAAGAAAAAAACTGCAGTTGCAAATCCCAACCTTAAATGGATCGGCAATTTTTATTCCATTTAAACTGAAACATCAATTCATTTGACACTGAAGTTTAAACTTTTTAAGATATGCTGCAAAGACTTCATAAACAATAATCTTATATAAAATTTCACCCCAAATCATATTTTTAGACTTAAAAATTTCAAGAATTCCCCTTAAATCTCAAAATCTTAAAAATAAACAAATTCACTGGATTTTTAAAATTTTAAAAAAGTTTTAAAAATCCCAAATAAATACAATTCCCTTAAAAAGCCTTGGATTTTAAGTTGGTTGGTCATAAAAGTAAATTCCAATTTTGAAACAAAATAGTTCCTTGAATGAATATCTTCATGTGAATAACTCATTCAATAAGGCACTGATTTTGCAAAATAAATAAATAATAATTATAATAATAATAATAATAAAAGTAAAACATATGTTTAAAGTTTAAACGAAGTCTGAAAAATAAACAACACATAATTTCTGTCAATACCTTCATACTTATGTTATATTAAAATTATGTTTTTGCCAAGTTCTTCAATTACCATACAATAAAAAATCTCTAAAACTAAAGAAAAAAAAAATGTAATCAGTACGTAACAATAATCGAACTAAATGGTAAAATATTTCAAATTCCATCCTCAAATTAATGAATCTCCAAATCTATTTTATTTAAACCGAAATTAACATTTCATCTAAGCCAACATCATCAATTGAACATACAATTAAATCATTACATATTTTTTGTTAAAACAACCATAATTCAAGAAAGTGATTTAAACGATTCGAGAGTGTTGAATGTTCTCGATTTCCAGTGCAACACGACGACTTCATATATCTTTTTAATCTTGATGCTATCATCTGCTGAGATTACCAGCTTATACCGTTCGAGTAGCACACTCACTGAGCCACCCGAATGGATTTCTTCTATTTGTCCCTCGACAATGGAGTCGAGCTTGAGTGACGTCCTGGCTTGAGAATTGTGTGTCGACACAGCAAATTGGGCAATTGCCACGACAGTCGGGCTTTTTAAATTGTCGATCGGGTGCCATTTGTGGATTTGAGCTAGGGTTTGGAATAAGTTTAAGGCTACCAAAAGGGAGAGAAACAAAAATTTGAAGGACATCATTTTTTTGTTTCTTAATTAATAAGTAAAATGATTTTNTAGAATGAGAGGAGACAAAAGCCTAGGACCCTCAGGTAATTATGTTCCGCGGATAAGCGATACCAATGAGATCATGTTGTATTCACGGTTTAACTACCGATGGTGGGTCTAAGAAACGTTGGCAAGGTATTGAATTGGAGAACTCAATGTAGTCCAGATACAAAACACCTTCAATTCTCATTGACTAAGGTGATCATATGTCATAAAAGTAAATTTCAGTTTTTGAAATGAAAAAAATCCCGTATTCAGTAAGCGATATCCTATGGCCTTAATTATAACTAAATAAATTATAGTGTTGTGCAAGCAGAATGGTGATTTCGATGATGTTTTAGTTAACTTTAATGGCATTATTAGTATAATGGAATGAAATTTGGTATGAATGGAATGATTGAAGAATGAAATAATTATGGGAGAGGAATGAAACAAGTTATGTCATTGATGCGTTTGGTATGCACAAGGAATAAGACCAGAATGAAATGTCATTATCTTCCTATATTATCATTTATCCGTATTCCATAGAATAATGTTATTTTTCTTATTTATGATAATACCAATATTATTTTATAATTTAAAAATATAATATATTTTACTAAACATACTTTTGTATTGTTACACCCATCTTATATAATAAATAAGTGAATTATGTATTTATATACATATTAACTAATATAAATATATCATTACAGAAACCCCTATAAGCATATCTGGTCAAATACACCTTTTTATAATATAATTAAATTTATGAATAAATTTCTATTATATATATATGATTATATAAAGTAAAATAAGATTTTTATAAACTATTTATAAATGCATTTTTTGGGAGTTTTATTTTTATATAAGTATTTAATATCTAATTAAACATGACTAATAAATATAAATAAATTTTTTAATTTTTTATTTGAAATAAATTTTTTAAAATGAGTTTGTTTAATATAAATTAAATCACGATAATATAGTATATATTATATATTTATTTGTTATTATTATTTGTTAATTTTAGTTTTTGAAAAACCAATTCCCAAACATATGGGAATGAAAAAACCATCCATTAGCTATGGAATGGCTAATCCCATATAGATGGGTTTTGCAATTCTCACGTCATTCTCACATACCAATCATGCCATGAGTGTATATGAGTTTAATGTTAATAAAATACATATCATAGTTAAATAAATTAAACTTTTTGTTGAATAAATATTTATTTTTGTGTATTATGCGGCCAAAAATTATTTCACCAGAAAAAAAAATGATGAAATTTCAACGGATATATATATATATATATATATATATATATATATTCTAATGGAATTCCAACGGCAATTTCAATTAATATTCTAATTTTATTACTGAAAAATATTTCAATAGAATTCCAACGACAATTCTAAATTGATATTTCAATATTATTATTTCCGTTGAAATTTTTCAATGGATTCCAATGAAAATTCCAACAAAAATATTCCTCTCGAATGAGTTTCTCATTGGAATTTTCATTGAATTTTGATGATCCCAATTGTAGATTTTCCAACAGTTGAAATATGGATGAAAATAAAAATTGTAACGGAAATTCCAATGGCTGAAATTTCAAATTAACTATGTTACCTCTGCCAAAAGTGTTCCCAATCATGGTTGAACTTTAAAATTGACAATAGATCAAAACTCAAAGTTTTCTGTTGTTCCACCCTCACCAACATAGAATATGCCTAATCAACCTCAGGTAAAGACCCCATCAGAAGTATCTATGACCTTACATAGGCTCATAAACGCCATGCAAACCCATGAGAAATTGCGATTTTCATTCTCAACTACATTCTTACCATTCGGCAAATACAAACAGTAGTACTCTTCAAATTATCACATTATCTCCATATATAACACTTTCATGACCTTGACTTCTAGAGCCATGCTAACAATTTCCATATACAACTTATTTTGATCATACTTTTCTAGCTATAATTTCTCACTTATTTTGATCATACTTTTCTAGCTATAATTTCTCAAACTTTATTCGTATAGACAAAGCTTTCAATTATATCCTTAGATTATGTATTCAGAATCCATGAAATGATCATATAATCTTTAGAAAAAGGAGTTGGGATAATGTAATGAATCCATGAAATGATCCTATAATCCTTGGAAAAAGGAGTTGGGATAAGAAAAAGGAATTGGGATAAAATAATAACGGTAATGTTTGCTCCTTTCCCATGTGATTTGCTTTAGATTAGTACATAATGTAACATACAATACAATGATTTGCTTTAGATTAGTACATAATGTAACATACAATACAATGGTTTATAAGCATGTCATTATTAAAAATTGTTCTTTTTTTTCTACTTTAGTACTTTTCTTTAGCTTTTATAATGCTTCTACTTTCATTCTTTAAGATTGTCTCTAGCTTTTATAATTAGACGATTCAACTTTTATTCTTTAAGATTTCTTAGATATATAATTAGAAGAATAATCTAAGGGAAATAAAGATATCTTATATCATATAGAAGAATAATCTAAAAGATAAATAAAGATTTTATATAATTAGAAGAATAATGTAAAAGATAAATATAATTAGAAGAATAAATCTAAAGGATAAATAAATAATTATCAATCGGTATATGGAGTTCTTCTAGAACTTAGGGTTGATTTGAATTGATGAGTTTCCTTTATTGAATTAAGTTTGTGACCGCATTTAGAACTAAGAATCGAGATAAATTAAAAAAAATATTAGAACTAAGAATTGAGATAAATTAAGAATTGAGAAATGTTTAGAAGAGAGGAGAGTAAAATAATTAGTTAAATTAATAATTGTAAATTAATATTATGACTCGAGTTCGACTCGATTAAAAATACAATAGCTCGAGCTCGGTTCGAGTTTTGTTTGAAATTTTTCAAGAATTTTGTAAAATTACCATTAAGTACATATATTAATATTATGATACATATATATACCAGGGATATTTTAATAATTTAACACGTGTAGATTATTATGTTTGTGTGAGACGACTCAACCACATGTATTGAAAGAAAAAAATTAGATCAGCATTTTGATGCTTAGTAAAAACAAAAATTTGTAAGAATTCTATAATATACATTTTTTTTCCGAGTCGTTAGACTTTCATAAATAAACACATAATTACAGACTAGCAGTCAGCTAAATAGTCGAATACTCAGCTACTCGGCTGACTCTAGTTGGGAGGACTACACCAATGGTAGCCTAGAACTAATCGCAAAAGCTCCCAAAAGGAGAAAAAAAAAAGCTCACACAAGTGAAAAATACACGAAACACATTTCCAACGGGAGAGAAAAGAAACATAACACAAGAAAAAAAAAACTAATACTAGAGTAAAACCCTCTGCAGAGGTATCTGCCGAATCAACACCAGAGAAACGGACAGGAACCGGGAAAAAAGGGAATGTCTAAAAAAAAAATGTATCTTTTATATTGCAGGAAATGTGTTAAAAAAAACTTTATTTTTATTTTTTTACTTGTGGATATATTAAAACTATTAATAGCTATTCATATTTTATTTTATTGATTTTCATTTTTTGTATAATTAAAAATTTGAAACAAGAAATACAACATTGAAACATGAAAAGTTTTAATTTGATAAGGAGTATTAATATAGATTAATATACAAAATACTCCAAAATAAAAAAAATAAAACCCATAATAATATATTAACCACAATAAATATTCTGTGGACATATTATATACTATGAAATACATAAATACTGGATAAACTGAGTAATTTTTTCATCAAATTTCATTCATTATAAATCAAGAGCCATTACCTCAGCTGTGGCCATTGTTTTGAGAAGAAAACTCTCAAAGAGAAACTTAACAAATTGGAGTATATAAAAAAAAGTGAGATTGCTTTGTGTGATTTGGAGACCTCATATTAGAAGGTATTTATAGTGATGCAACCCTATCAAATTTGCATCTCTTAAACTGACTAAAATTTATTTGGCAAACTGAACTCTAGAATGAACCAATACAACAAAGGGAGAAGTTATGGTATGATAAACGAACACACACTTCATTAAAATTGCCAGCAAAAAAAAAAAAAAAATGCATCAACCAACAACTTTCCCAATCCATTATTGGTCCCAAGTACGAAAGAGCATCCCAAAAAATCTTGGTCATGAAGCAGAAAATACAGTTTCTTCAAAAGGCTTCTTCAGATTTTGAGTTGTGTTGTCCATGTACCTTGAACACTAGGGTTCTTAGTCACGTGCCTAGACTTCAGCTTCACCACTTTCCTTCCTTGCCCATTCCTTAGCCTGGTCGCACATAGTAATATATCCTCTGTGCTCATGTTCTTGATGCAAACAACCCGCTCATTCTTGTTCCCTGTGTGCCAAATGTAGGTAAATATTCTGACTAGATGAAAGATTTTTTTTTATCCCATCATATTATAAAACATTAATTTAATCAAATTAAGGCTATGTTTGGTAACCAAACATCTTAGAGCTTATTTGCTTAGCTTATATAAAAGCTTCCTGCATTTAAATTAGTTTCGTTTGATAGGACGGGCTTTTTCAAAAAGCTCGAGTTTATCTCATAAGCTTCTTTGAATAGCTTTTTAGATAAGCTCGTTGAAATTTATACTAATCATATCATTAACTTTATACTAACTTTATTAGAACAAAGTGCTAAAACTTCATGTCATACTAAAGAAAGTTACTATAAAATGCGGAGAGAGAGAGAGAGAGAGAGAGAGGTAGGTCTCACTATATAATCCCTTCAAAAGTGGATGATAACCACGGTTTAGCTCAGTGACAACCTCAAGCTGGGGATTCTTCTCGATAAATGTTGGAAGATGAGACTCCATAAATGCTCTAAACAAACCAAAAAAGGTGGGGGGGTTAAGAGTATTAGTCCAGTTTATAACAAGAGGCTAGTGTTGTTTCACACATGCTCATTTACGTGAACTTGCTAACTGTATTTACATTCAACCATTGAAAGTTGCTATAAGTGTGGATGCTATGTAGATATGAAGGAGCATACACCAATATCTATGACCTGACTATGAATATTGAGGACCCTTGCATAATGTTTTAAAGCCTATAGATATCCACTTAAAAGTTTGCGGTTTTCATGGTAGGACTATGATTTTCAGTGAATTCTATAATAAAATCATATTCATACCAATTACGAAGGTAATACTGGAATGTACCATTGGAAAACTAATGCCATGATATCTGGAATGCTTGAACCTCAAATTACCAAATACCAATGCACTTAGCCAAACAAGAAAACTCTCCTATATCAAAATCATTAAAGTTCTACTTCATAATATAATATGATATATTAGCACTAAGTTGGAAAGACAGGTGAACTAGCATAGGAATTCATTTAATAAATCAGTTCAATATGTCTTGTCAGGTAAACCTATTCAAACATATTGCTGAGCCATTACACCCTTGTGGGCTAAACCTCTTTAAAATCCTCGTGAACAAATAAAATATAACCCAAAAAAAATGATGTGCCTTCCTTTTGTCTTTGATAAAGAATTTTCAAACAAACTGATTAAAATAAAAGACACGAATATAATTTAGATGCACAGGATACAAAATCGAAACGACAACCATTTTCTTCTGCATTTTCTTATCTCTTACTACCTAACTAACTAATAACCAAATATCATCACCATACATAAACAAGATCAATCTGAACCCTAAAAGTGTCTTAGCACAGTTTATTCCATCCTGGTTCAAATAAAAAGTAATACTTTTTCCCAGAGAGAAATCCCTTATTATCCTTAAGAACTGACAAAGCCAATGCACTTTACCTTTTCTAGAGACACTATTACAGAGAAAATGCGAAGTTATACAAATAAAAATATAAGAAAGGCATTGGGATATCGGAATCACCTGATGCCTCTGCTACTGCCACCCATGTCGCAGAAACTAACGATTAGCTTCTGCAGTTGCCATACACCTCTCAGAGCCATTAATACCCTGTTTGAATTTAGTTCTTTC